AGGAGTTACTTCTCTGTCTTGAGCGAGGAAGACTCTCTTCCCCTGCCAGCCTCTCCTCAGCTCCTGTGATTCCTGAGCTCAAGGCCGGCTTCTTCTCTCTCCTCCCTCACCTCTACCGTAGGACAGGCGGGACTGTCTAAGAGGACCATCCGCAGCCCTCTGGTCATCCTCCTCCTCCCTCCGGATAACTCCCTCTTCTCTCCCTCCCTCTCCTCCCCTTCCTCCGTATCCTCCGCCCTGTCTTCCTCCATATTCATCTTGGTTGTCCTCCTGCTCCCAACCTCCTGCTCCTCCACTGCTGGACTCCTCCTGGCTGCCCTCCACGTCGCCTGCTTCCCAGTCAAGATGACGGCAGGTACGGTATGAAGAGAGTTGCAGGAGAAAAGGAGAGGAGGAGAGGGAGAAGGAGCAGGAGCAGGAGCAGGAGCAGGAGCAGGAGCCGAAGTAGGAGGAACAGACGGAGCGGGAGCAGGAGCCAAAGTAGGAGGAACAAAAGGAGCAGGAGCAGGAGCAGGAGGGGAAGGATGAAAAGGGGGAGGAGCAGGAGCAGGAGCAGGAGGAGCAGGAGGCAAGCTGGGCTCACTTTGTATCTCGGCTTCGAGGTCGTTCAAGCTCTTCATGTCGCTCGTACACTCACCAAACCTTCCTCTTCCTCTCCTCGTCAGCGCAGACTCGTCCAGCTCCTTCGCTCACCTCACGATGTCTCGACCCGTGCAGCCTCCCCCGTCCTTGCTCCTGAACCTCCACGAGATCGACCCGTCACCTGCCCTCCAGTCACTCGCAGCTCCTCCATCGTCCAACCAGCCCTCCCTGTCTCCCCTCTCCATTCTTCTGTCTGCTGACACTCTCTGCTGACACTCTCTCCTTGCCCCTCGCTCCTCGCTCCCTCCTGCTATCCTGCTTTCCCTTCTTGAGTTTCCCTTCCTTCAGTTGGTCATCTTCCTCTTCTTCCTGTTCCTCAGAACATCGAGACGCCCTCATCAGCGCCCCCCCTCCTCTACTTACAAATGAAGTATCCCTTCTCTTCTCCTTTTGCAGGACAGAACACCAAAACCGTCGTCTTGTACACTGAAGACAGTCCAATCAAAAACGCGAAAGAACAAAGAAGATGAAGCAGGAGGAAAAGAAAAAGGAAGAGTTCTCTAGAGGAGGGAGTGGAGTAGGAAGGATTATTAGTGAGCAAAACGCATGGAGGAGGTCTGAATTTGAGAGTGATGATTCAGAGATGAAGGGAGCGGAGCGGAGGAGAAGAAGGACAAGATAGAACAGGAGCAGGAGCAGGAGCAGGAGCAGGAGCAGGCCAGAACCGTCACCCCCTCCCTTCCTCCTCCCTGAGTCACTTTTGAATCATGACGGCGCTGTGCGTGACGAAACCGATCGACTGCTGCGGCTGTTGGAGGAGAAGAATCAAAATCGACAGGAAGTAAGCCGAAGGGAAACATGGTTGAAAGAGGTGGCAGCGAAAGAAGACAAGGGCGAAGAAGACATGGTGGCGTAGTAGCAGCAGCAGCAGCAGCAGCAGCAGGAGCAGCAGGAGGACCACGAGCACCAGGAGCAGGAGCAGGAGCAGGAGCAGGAGCAGGAGCAGGAGCAGCAGGACCAGGAAGACCAGGAGGAGTAGCAGGAGGGCCAGGACGAGGACGAGGTTGAGGACGAGGATGAGGACGAGGTAAAGTAGTAGTAGTAGTAGTAGTAGTAGTAGTAGGAGGAGGAGGAGGAGGAGGAGGAGGAAGAGGAGGAGGAGCAGGAAGAGGACCAGGAGGAGGAGGAGGACCAGGAAGAGGAGGAGTAGCAGCAGCAGCAGCAGCAGCAGCGGGCAATTCACCTTGCACTTGTCTCCCTCAGCAGACACTGTCTTGGATCGGATCCTCCAGATGCCTTCGGGGGCGGGCCCGTCGGGGATGCTGCAAGAAAGCGAGCAAGACCTCAGCTGCGACTGAGGCAGAAGGCGGCGACAAGAGACGTGGAGAGAAGCAGAAGCAGAAGTAGTAGAAGGAGGAGGAGGAGAACGAGAAGCAGAAGGAGAAGGAGAAGCAGAAGCAGAAGGAGAAGCAGAAGGAGAAGCAGAAGCAGAAGCAGGAGGATGACGAGAAGGAGAAGGAGGAGTGGGAGGAGAAGGACAAGAACAAGGACAAGGCTTAAGAAGCAGGAGGGCAAGCAAGAAGCACACAATTTTTCCTTTCTTGCAGCTCACAGCAGCAGGTAACACGAATATTTCATCACAATACAGAGACGGGAAGACAGGATACAGATACTTTCACAGGAACAAGACATCGTTGACATATCATCATAATGTCATTTTGTGATGATGTGTGTGCCAACAGGGAGCCATGAACAAATATCTCAAGTCTTGCAACATCACAGTGGCTGCACTCACGCGTCCATGTTCGCATCCCAAGTCTCGTCGCAAGTCGACTTGCCTGGCGATGGTCTTAGTCAGAGACATTGAGACACAATAAGGCAAGGAATGTGATCAGGTCATGGCAGTGAGAACAACAAGCCGAACATCTGCAGGTGGTTCTACAAGCTCCAAGATCTTACCAGGAGTTCCAACGAACTGATCTGCTCCGTTGCAGTACATTTCACCATCGTTGCTGGTCCAGTTCCACACTTGCGTCCCTGCGTCAAAGGTTCAGCCAAGATCGAGATATGCAGCAGGGAGGGAGGGTAGTGGAGGAGGAAGAGGATGTCGAAGAGGAGGAAGAGGTGGTGGCGAAAGGGGGGAGGAGAAGAAAGAGAAGAAAGAGAAGAAAGAGACGGAGAGGAAGGAGCAGCAAGAGCAGCAGGAGCAGCGGGCAGGCCTCCACCTTCAAACTTGTTCCCAGAGATCCTGTAGGTAGCCTCCACAACATTCATGACACCGTCGAATGATTTGAAACTGCGGGCAGCGTCAGAGGGCAGAATTTCACCCTAGGTCATGAAATTCCTGTACTGCGGCACGACAGCGAGCATTCCAGTCCCGTCGCTGTTCACCTTGACAGCAAGTTGTCAGCTGCCACAACGCCTTGGACAAATACGAAGGAAGGAAGGACGGAAGGATGGATGGATGGATGTGATGAACGAACGAACAAACAAACAAACAAACAAACAAACGATTGAACGAAAGAGTAAAAGTCATCATCGATCATGTCGAATAACAAACAAGACATCACAGTCATGGAATATCCTCGTCAAGATCCACAGAGCTCCCTCCTCCTCACCTGGACAGCCGCCTGCTGCTCTATCGGCTTGTTCTCAGAGTCGTCCAAGTTTGCGCATTTCCAGTTCAGCTGGAATATGCATCCAGTCGAGCGAGGACGACAGTCCGTACCCTTGATGCTGCAGATTCAGCAAAGCCGCATTCAGCAACGGATCGCTCACCCTCACTGCATTGATCACCAGACCCATCTCTATCTGGAATAACATGCTGTTAGTTGCCTGGCGATCAAATGGCCCATGACCAACTTCGTCATCAGCTTGTATGTCCAGCCAATCTCTCCCGCAGCCTGCGTACCCATGGGCGCCATTCAGATGAGACATCGAGATTCCCGGGCACAAGGATTGAGGAAAGGAGAGAGTGAGAGGGGCAGATTGTAGCAGATTGTCTTCATGGCACCTCGTCCATTTGCTCGAGATACGATCTTATTCAGCTTCCAGTCACCCTACAAAGAGCTTTCTTAGCTAGCAACTACCTTCCTCTTCGAAAGTCGCAGCATAAGTGCAACGCAGATCGGGTGCTAGTACAACACGCAGGTATCGTCCATCGTATCACATCCCATCATCCATCATGTTTCCTCAACAATTTTGTTCATGTAGCGTCGCGCGCCAGACGCATCGTTAGTGCCCCTTCACCCCGACACAAACGAAAAGACAGCACGCTTCCATCATGGCAGCGGCAAACAAGGAGCCATGGAAGGGCAGGCCACATCCCCGTGTTCGCGTCGTACCTGTCCTCCTACAAGCGCGTCGCCATCCTGATCCCTCGAAGCCATAGCGGCCGTCGCCATCACCACCAGCAGGAACCCCAGCCGCGCCATCGTGGATCTCTCTCTGGGGGTAGGGGGTGATAAAAGTAGCAAGGACGGGTGGTGGCTAATGTTTTTGATAGCTGGTGGAAGCAGGGTAGTCACAAGAAAAGTCTAGAAGTACCGGGTAGTTTACCAATAGAAATTGAGAGATTTTGGAGGTAGGGTGTAAACGGGCTAACCTCAGGAAAATATAAAGGCAGCGACTTGATTATAGTGATATGTGTTGAGATTCAAGGGCAGCAATCAGAAAAAACCGACATGTTCGAACCCTTGCAACGGGTGAGGGAGAGGAGCGGTAAGAGATAGGAAGGAGCAAGAAGGGCCTGACAGATAGCAGAAGAATCAGCATAGCATAATCAGGAGTAGATCAGTTGAAGTCAAACACAAATCATTGTGGTTTGAACGTATTGTTCGTAAGTAAAATAAATATGTTTGCGTTTTTGTATCAACCGGGCTCTTCTTGGTCTACGTAAAGCTAGATCATGAAGCTGTATCAAGCGGAATGGACAAGCTACAATAGAAAAAAAAACGCTTGTTTCAAACAGACAAGATTTATTGCACTTGGTAAGATTGAATAAAAACAATAAATTACTCTACAAGGAATCCAAGGGAAAGATCCTTAACAAGTGGATCCTCCTGGTAACAAATCTATAGCTATAAGCTACTCCTCATGTCAGAGGAGACTTTTGTCACTCCACTCAAGGCAGCAAGTACGGCAAAAGACGCTGAGACAGCTGCGAATGTCGAGATCTCGTCATCATTGTGCCTCGATACCGACTTATGCTTCATTGGCTGCGCGAGTTTCTTTGCGCGAGTCTCGCCAAGCAGGTTGCTTCTTGATCCGAGATCATTGCTGGCAACCTTGGGTCTTGCAGCCATGGTTCTGTTTGCCCATGATGATGCCTGGCGGGCACCCTTCAAACCAAGGCTTGCGCTTTTTGATGCAAAAATTGCTGAAGACATGATGATGGGAAGACAAGAGAGGTTTTGGTTCGAGCTCGAATGAGTAATGTACGATCAGCAGAAGACCAGAGTCACAGAAGACAAGCGAGTGTTGGGTTTTAACAGCGCTTGTAGCTTGCTTTGACGATCAGCAGTAGTGATCCTCACGCGGGGGACTATGAGGGGCAACCAGACGCAAGGAGCTTGTATTTAAAGGGGAAAGGGCAGGGGGCTCCGTGGGGGTGGGGGTGTGCGAGCCAGTGGGGGGGCGGGGTGGGGGCGAGAGACTACTTTTGGATTGCTGCACTGGGTGGGGTAGGTGGCCTTCAGAATGTGGGTTGGGGTACTACATTTTCTCGTGGGTTCGAACATCCACTGTGGTAGGTTATGGAACATTGAAGGTGGGTAGTACCAATAGGGAAGAAGGGGTAGTCAACTCAACCAAACTGGTTCGAACGGTTTGTGGAGGAGAAGAGGCTCTGAAGAACTAAGGTGTGGAGTAGAGGCAAATCAATTAGACCATTAATATGAAATCTCTATGGTACAGTAAATGTGTGAATAGCCACCTTGACTCTCAGTGCACCCTTCCCCGCACGCGAAACGGTGAAGCACCCCCTACCCACTGGGACGAGATGGGTGAAGTTAAAAAAACAGACTTGGGGAGGTGGGGTGGGGTAGGGTGACATAGGAGAAAATGGGGGTAAGCTGGAAGGAGGGTGGGTGCTGTTTCGGACAGAGAGGGTGGGGGGATGGGGTGAGCGCCCTGCTCGTGCATGTCAGGGGTTGCCTTAATTTCATTCTATCCTTAGCTGGCACACTCTAATTCGGTAAAGAATAAAATTGGAAGGTCATATGCGAAGATTGAGGATTTATCTTGAAACTATCTAATGAAACAACAGCATGTCGTCCTGATGAGAAGAAACGGCTGAGAGAAACGGGAATATTCGGCAAGGGACACGCCAACAATTTATGGGTCATGGTTATGTATTTTTAGAGTGGATTTCAAGGGATACCCTAAGATGTGTAGTAAATATCCTCCACCCCTTTTGGATCGTACGTAGCTTGGGTAAAGTGAACGGTGGTGTAGTTGACCCTACCTATGTCAGTCCCAGTCAATTTCCACGGTCCAAGGGGGTGCCTGTAGAGCGGTACGACCCCACCCAGTTCGTAAGGGATGTTTAGACCAGGAGAGGTCGGAGGGATTATTGAAGTTAGGGGGTAGGGTAAGGGTACTTTGATAGGGTGCACAGAAGTAAAATGACCTGGGGGTGCTGTGGGACAAGAAGGACTTGGGGAAGGGAAGGACCCCGAATGCATTGGGATTTCAAGGTTAGATAAGGTGGTCTACATGAAACATTTATTGAGTGGAGATCTAATTAAAAATGAATAACATATTTACATTTGCACTTGAGGTCTTCCCATCCAACCAAACAATCGGCGTTGCTGAGCTGTGCAAATATTATCTTGGTTCGTGGGGAGGGGGTTATCCAGAAAAAAGTCGAAAGTGGGGTGGGGTGGCTAAGATGACCGGTGGTATATGTGCATTCCCCGACCTTTCTCCCCAGAAAGCGGGTGCGGTTTGAGTCCACCCACCCAACTCAGCATGAAATTGATCTTTTTCGGGGTGGGGGTACACAACGTACCCCTTCTGCACGAAGGGATTTAAACCTTGTGAGTACCCCTCCCCTCCAGCCAAAGAGCAGGGAATTTGGGTGTGGGGTACATTTGTGAGGCCGGTTAACACGGAGACTCTCTGTTACACCGGCCACGAGGGATGCGTCCAGATAACAGCTGCGGGGACCCGTGGTATAAGGAAATGCGGAAGGGAAAAGAGGGGTACTTTTAGGACTACTGGGTAATGGAGGCCGTGGTTGGGGTTCTTTTTTTTCGATTTTTTTGGACCAGAGGGATAAAGATATCCTGAGGCAAGCTCGATCAATGAGGACTGTTTGACTTGGTCAAATTTGACCGGGTCTAACTAACTAACTAACTAAAACTAATAATAACCCGCTGGTCAAACAAAGATCCTGTCCACAGGCATGATGAAGGGAGTTGGAGTGGACAGAACAGGAGCCCTGGGAACGAGGAAGGGAGGAGAAAGAGATGGTTATACGATGCAAAGATAGCATTCCAGCCTGTTTGATCGCTTTCTGTATGACATCTGCGTACAGTACGAAGCCGACAATTATGGCAGGAAGGACCAAACAGAAAGAATGTCGTATGTATAGCTAGAGAAAGGAGTTTTCTGAATGCGGTTTAAAACTATAGCATTTCTACAACAATGAGTGCACGGGTAAAAGAAGGTTGTGCCTTCCATGGATATGGCTAGGGAGCGAATGAACGTATCAAGACATTGTCTGTATCATACTGAGGAGATATCTTGTCTTTGTGCTCAGGTATGCATCTTAGTTCCCTACATGGGGGTAATTTGGAAGAGGCATCGGGAAACACCAAAGGGGTAAGACAACAAGAAAAGGGCCTGGTAACATGAGCTGAGAATGGAGGAAGATGGAAATGAACATGCAGACATGAATGTTTTGAATTTCGTACAACGAAGGTAATGCAACAGCATGTCCCGAGAGAATTTCTAGATGATCTCGAATGCTGCTCGTTTCTAGTGGGAAACGAAGGTAGAAGAGATCGATCATGATAGTGTTTTGAGATGAAACAGAAAAGGGGGGGAAACATACAATAAGGAATTGTTTGAAGCATAAAGTTTTGACCGTGACGATGCAAAGCAAACTACCTTGATAGCAATCTTCGGGAAGAAGTATGCAAAAGCAAAAGGAGAAAATCCTGCTTCTGCATCCCTTTTCTCACGTGATGTTGTGTTCAACTCGTCTACTGATGAATTGCGGTGTGTTTGCTCTGTTTTTCGGGAGGGGCCCAAATCTTCATGATTCTCAATAAAAATTAATATACCAATGGATTGTCATCTCCATACGATGTTTCTATCTTCATATAAATTCAATTGAGAAAATTGTATGAGTTTGCAAAGGACCTCTGGTGAATTTGAGAAAGCTGATGAACAAAGCCAGTGTGAAAAGGGATACTTTGATGGGCCTTGCTTGTCTAAATTATTTATGGCATCAAGTGTATTGAGAACTATGCTATCTTTGAGGTAGATTCAAGAAACAAAGAAGAAATTGACAACTGTTGGGGTGTGGGGGGCATTTTTCACTTGAATGAGTATCATTTTGAGACGAAAAGAGCAAAAGGGAATTGATTTCTCAGAGCTTTATTTACATGCGTCCTATGAATTGCAACAATTACTTGATGCCAACTCTCATGACCTTGAAGGTCTGACCAAAGTACGGGCGTAGCATCTTTTTCTTATCAAAGACGTTTCTTGACGACGAGAATCGTGGCCACCTTCGCTGAGGCATCTCTCTCCGAATCTCTATGTCGAAGTCTTCAAGATCGTCGTCCTCAAAGAGCCAGACAGCTGCATCTCTGACGTATCGAGCAATGAACATGAAGACTGCGAGGGCGAACACGACCTGGAGCCGAAACTTTGCGGGAACATTGCGATCGTCTTGCTCCTCAGGCTCCGGCGATGCTGACACTTGAATTTGCCAATCGTGAGAGGATGAGCTCATTTGAAAGAAGGATGTGCGAGCTGAAACAATGGTTTGAGGAGAACGAAGAGAACGAGGAGGACGAGGAGAACAAGGAGAACGAGGAGAACGAGGAGAACGAGGAGAACGAGGAGAACAAGGAGAACAAGGAGAACGAGGAGAACGAGGAGCGTGAGAGGGCGGGGTTGGGTTGTACTGTGGACTCCAGTTGAAGGCGAAGGCATTTAACTTACCCATCCCTAGCGAAAACTTGTATTTTCGTGACAATTTGGTTTTCGTATCGCCTGCTGACATGTCATCCATGCGTTGATCGTGTGGTAACACAGTATCCTCGTGACTACTGACATTGAGATAAGAGCAGTTATACCAAACTGAATTGGGCTGCCTGCCGAAAAGATGTAGTTTAAAGACGGGGGGTTTCTATCCTCGTGACTGTGACCAGCTGAAGAAGTTTACTCATCAGAGATAAAACGTTATTAAGACCTACTGGGTAGTATCAGAGGATTCGCAGTGACATCAGCAAGTCTGTTGAGATCAGCGTTGAGATCGAAGGCTGGCCGTTCAACTGATGTAACCGGCGGCTCGTCATCAACTCAGAGGTCCGGGCCCGACCGTCGGCCCGGGCGATGGCCACTTGAGGACAGTGACTGTCACGGGCCCGGGTGGAACCGTGACTGCTGACTCTGTTGCTCCCATTGAAACAAATTCCTTTCAAATTAAGTGTCTGACAGATGCCGGACACGAGCATAAGGTCTTGTCCGGCAGGGAGGGCAAAGTTGAGTAAATATTTTGTCCTGCATCTTCAATGAATGCCAAATAATACCTTTGGAAAGCAGGGCATGATTTTACTAGGGTACTTGAAGTATTTAGTAGGGGTAGCATAAAAATTATGCTACTTATAACAATTCTTATATAACAGATGCCGGACAAACCAATTAGTGCATTAGTTTTACTCAACTTTGGAACCTCTAATTGCTCCTACCCCCTTGCCCTGCTGTCCGATCTTATAGAAATGTGTGGCCCCACCACCCCACCCCCTTCCACAAACAGCTTCGCGCCATTCATGGCTTCTTCACACACATGCTTGTTTGGCAATCAATGCAAGGTACATGATGAAAGCATTCGATTGTATCAATGCTGAAGATGCAAGCCTGATGTGCCATCATCTTTGCGTGAATGAATATGTTGATTCGGAAGGATACACCAGCTGTGAGTGTGAGCAACGTGGGAAAACAGCCATTCCATCAATTCCTCAAGATGCACTTGCTTGCAAGAAGTCATGTAGAAGGATCTAATCATGGCACAGAGTGGATGATGATGATGATGATGTGATTTTGATGATGCTGAGGAGGTGGTGGTGGTGGAGCACGAGCTGGAGCACATGCAACAGGACGAGGACGAGGAGAGGACGAGGACCGTACGGAGAAGAAGGGTGCCTTTGGGGAATGTGAAGAAGAAGAGCAAGATGTAAGTGGACAGATAGAATCAGTAAGTGGAATCTGTAAGAGATTGGATGGGAAAGAGATTGGATCTGTAAGAGATTGGTCAACCCGAAGACCTCCTCTTGGAATTCTGTAAGCCAACTGATTACTTGTGTGAGAAGAGAGCATGTTGCTTGTCAGCTTCGGAGTTGAGCACGAAATCGCAGTCCAACCCCTGAGAAGATCAAGAGTTGCTGGCAAGACGGGGGTTGGTTTCTTTGTACATGAGGAAATGCTCGCACCAGCAAATGTCTTCGTTGCTGATAATGAAGCAAAAAGCTACTTGAAGTTTCAGTCAAACATGTCTCTAAGGTCTGGCGTCAGGCATGTTTACAGAAGGAACAACCACTCAAAGACTTTCGGTGGAAGATTGATACAACCATATATTGGAGTCCTACAAAGGTCTTCATAGATGAGGCGGCAGATGGTGTCACGAAACTCAGCTCGGGAAAGGATGCAAATCCGTTGACGGAAGAGAATTACATATGCATCTGCATAGGCATAAGAAGATAGGATCGTGGGCAGCCTGACATATGTCACATTGAGTTGGGATGTCATCTGTAGATCCGTGAATACGGTTCAGATCCTGCTGCATGCAACACATCTGATGGCAAGATGATCATATGTTCGTTGGTGTTCCGAGCCTGGAGGATTTGAAACGCAACATTGCAGAAAACAACGATTCAGTCGCAGGCATGCTGAAGGAGATCCCGGAGATAGGGCAACATGCGACAGAACACCAGGAACAGGAAGAGGAACCTGACCTCGGAGACGTAAAAGCTGGCGCACTGCTGAATCGGAGCACTGTACAGTGTGTCAATGGCGATCGAGCTGGCGTTCGTCACACTGTGACTCAGACTGATCAAGCTGATCTGAAAACGATTCGAATTTCTGGTGAAGCGAAATGTTTCAACAGTGCATGGAATCTGTATCACTCTGGCAAACATGCCAAAGGGATACCTCCTTCGGAGAAACTGCAACGAGCAAATTTTAACAGAGCATGAAGCAAATGGTTTGCAGGCATAGCTTATCTCATGAAGTGCTTTGACCAATTCATCCGGCGAAGTGTAATGGAACTGAATTCCTTCTTTTTTATAGTCGGTGAGAATCTTTGATGTTTTTAAGGCCGAGATGAAACATTCAAGAAATATCCAAAGGATTTCATCTCGTGGCTCAATCAGAGAGAAGGGGCAGAGAGCTCAAGTGATAGGAGTGGGCAGTTTGCACAGGCAACGTACTTCAAGAAAATGCGAAAGAAAGAAGCAACGCGACTAGATGAGATCAGGTGGTCGTTCGAAATGCGAATGATAACGAGACTGATGGCTTAGATTTTGCCTGTAATTGGATGGTTTAAGGTTTGCAAAACATATAATTCATTGTCAAGTGACAGTGAGTGATATCATAAGTTGTAATAAACACAAGTTGCTCTGGTAAATCTTGTGAAACCTCGTTAGACGTTGCTCAGTTCTGGGTCAAGCAGCGAGATGGAGCTCAGAAATTTGGCTAAGTGTTTTTGAGTCTTGGACCTCTGAGGCGGGTGTGTAAGTGTTTGAGGGTAGGGAGGGTGGGTGGGTGAGGTCCTAAACTGGTCTTTGGGTGGGGTAGGGGTCATATTCGGAAGAAGTTTATGTGAATGAGCACTAAACCTCTCAAAAAACTACAAAAGTGTATATATTTGTCCGGACTATATCTTACACCTCTAAATTGTTCCCCCATTCTGAGGTAGAGAGTCTGCCGCCGTATGCCCCCCCACCATGCTGCGCACACCCCTCAACTCCTCCTGCCTCCCTCCCGCTCATGCCTCCCCCTCCCTCCTCCTCGACTCGCACACCCTCGCCTCCCTCCTCTCAGACTCCGAGCTGGACCTCGCCCTCCTCAAAGTACTCCTCGGCTCGTCATGGTCCGACCTCCTCGTCACGCTCCTTCTCGTCGCCATCGTATGCAGGCGCCTCGCTGAGACGGTCGGGGAGCTGCTGCTGGACGACGAGGACAAGGACGATGATAGTGACAACGCCAGCTCCAGCGACATCGACGCCATCGGCTGCCGCAGCGCCCTCGCCCGCCTCACCGACCTCAAGTCAGGATCCCCTCGATACGTCGGAGGCTTCGACAAGCTTAAGATGCTGGAGCCTCACTTCGGGCAGACGTTCAAGGTGCCCCGGGTAGGCGTCAGGTAGCCGCGACGAGGACGCAAGCACGCCCGAGGCTCTGTAGACTACTAAGACTTGTAAATAGCGTGGAGAAGACCGAGGACCTAAATACAAACATGGCATTCTGTGAAGATGATTTTTGTCCAGGGAGCGAGAGGGAGGGGGTACTGCGGTGAAGTAACTCTGTGAGCTGAGGCAGGAACGAGGAGAGGGAGGAGGAGGAGGAGGAGGACGAGGACTCAGGAGGAGAGGGGGGAGGAGGACGAGGACTCCCGGGAGGAAGAGGACTCGAAGAGGAGGAGGAGGAGAGATAGAGAGCAAGATTATGTGATCGGACACTGACTGATGCCTGGATTGATGCCCGGCACTGGCGGTCGGCCGGGCGGTGTGTCCGGGCCACAGCCCCGGCGGCTTTCTTCTTTGCCTCAAAGTTAAGTTAAAAATCAGTGCGAGGACAAGCTTTCAGTCCGGCGTCAAGTCCCGGAGTCCGGTCAGACCGTGGCACCGACGAAGTCCAAGCCGCCGCTCCGACTGAACTTAACTTTGACTAAAGATGAAGGCTCGGTACAAAATCGAACTCGCCGTAGCGTGACGGCTGACTGACTGGTAAAGACTGGCCGGATCGCCGGACCCCGCGCCGGGCCGCCGGGGCCAGTGACCCCCCGCGCCTTCTGACTGGACCGACTCGAAAATTTGACTAAAATCTCCCCGAGGACAAGGACGATGACTTCATAGTGACAACGCCAGCTCCAGCGACATCGACGCCAGCGACGTCGACGCCATCGGCTGCCGCAGCGCCCACGCCCGCCTCACCGACCTCAAGTCAGGATGGGGCCTCTCGATACGTCGGAGGCTTCGACAAGCCTTGAAGCTTAAGATACTGCTGGAGCCGTACTTCGGGCCCAGACGTTCAAGGTGCCCCGGGTAGGCGTCAGGTAGCCGCGACGAGGACGCAAGCACGCCCGAGGCTCTGTAGACTGACAAAGACTTGTACATAGAAGACCGAGGACCTAAATACAAACATGACACTTTGTGAAGACTCGATGATTGTTGTCCAGGGAGCGAGAGGGAGGGGGTACTGCGGTGGCAAGCGACGAGCTGAGGCAGGTGAGGCAGAGGAGGAGGAAGAGAAGAAGGAGGAGGAGGAGGTGGAGGAAAGAGAGACCTCGTCTGAGAAAGAGACAGACAGACAAACAGCCTCCGACAAACAGACGAACGGACGGACGGACAGACAAAACTTAGACGGACTGTCATGGACAGACACTGGCAGGCACTGCCGCTGCGGCGGAGCCTGAGCAGGACCGTCCGAGCCTTCCCGGCACAGCCGCGCCGCCCGGCCGCGGCCGCCGCGCGGTTCATTGGCAAGCTGAGTAATGGGCTGTGGGGTCAGCAAAAACCCAGCGGCCCGGCCCGGCTCGGGCAGGCCGGGCTAGGCCCCCGGGCCCCCCGACCATCCGATGATCGGACGGAGACTCCGACACCGGGAACGGTGGCAAGCTGCCAGGGACGAGGCAGGCCTCACTGAGTCAGCCGCCAGCCGTCGTCGGAGGCCCGCGGCCCTTGAAGCAGTGCCAGTACGGTCACGGCCCGGAATCACCGCCGGGCTCGGAGCTCGGAACTTTTCAAGTTTGTTGAAACGTGACGTCCGACTGTGTGGACTGAGTCGGGCGGCGGAGTCGGCGGAGTCACTCACTCAAACGGTTAAGCCTTGAAGTTAGCTGTCACATGGCACGGCCGGGGTAGTATAGTACTGTAGTTGTACGGTAACTGAGCCTCGGAGTGAGACTGAGTCGTCCGGGTGGCAAGCGGCAGGCAGGCACGGCGCGGCGGCTAGGGGGGTCAATTCATGCCAGACAGGCGGCCCGGAGAGAAACTCCGTAGGGGGTCAACTTTACTCCGTACAAATCTCTGAACTCCGTAGAGGGTCAAATCTCGTGACTAAGGCAAAGGTTGGCATGCTCTTTTCCAATCGTTGCGTTTGCTCGGCAGATGCTGACTCCTGGTGCCGTGACTCGTAGATATTCGTACGTGACTGTGGGTCACGGGATCAGTCTTTTCTCAAGCGATGCTTTCTCCCCCTGATCTCCACCTCAAGTTCTTCAAGCTCACGCGCAGCCTCCCTCATCCGCTCGCCAGCGCCACACCTGTCCACGCCCTACTCCTCCCATCCTCTCCCGCCTCCCTCTGCCTTCTCTCCCGTCTTCATCCAAGCTATCTCTTCCCCTCCTGCCGATGTCCTCTTCCTCCTCCTCTCACGACTTGCCGCCTCCTTCCTCGAGCCTCAGCCATTGCGTGGCTTCCGCCGCTACTCAGCTCTATGTCGCGCTGGTCGCGACCATCTTCGTATCCCTCGCGCGGCACATCCCCGCCGCCATCCTCTGGCTGCTGGAGGATGACAGCGAGCTCGCTCATGCCCTCAGCCTGCGGGAGCAGCCGGAGACTCAGGCCCCGGCAGTCGTCTCGACAGGAGGGGCTACGGGAGGCTTCGACAGGAGGAAGATGCTGGAGCCGCACTTCGGGCAGACCTTCAAGGTGAAGCGCGTGGGAGTACTGTAGGAGGCCAGCAAGGGATGGGAGGCTGTATAGTGTATCAGGATTGGATGTAAATGCGAATGTATGTACAATGTGAAGTAATAAACCATTAAGATGGAGTACTTTTTGCGCTTGATTATGAGCGAGGCCTCGGAATGGATGAGATGGAGAGAAGACAGGCGTGAAGAGAAGAGGCATTGACACTGTTGCCAAGACGCAACTCACAAGGATGCCGGGTCCTAGCAAGGCAACCTTCCTCCCTCTCTTCATCATGGTGTCGTGCTCCTGCAACGTAGACGTTGCCATGGTTTTGATACAGAAGTGCACCAGAAACATCATCATCCCACTTCAGTTGCCAGGCCCTTAAGATGCTGGAGCCTCACTTCGGGCAGACGTTCAAGGTACCCCGGGTAGGCGTCAGATAGCCGTCGGACGAGGACGCAAGCACGCCCGAGGCTCTGTCTTGTCCAGGGAGTGAGAGGGAGATGGTACTGCGTTGAAGCAACGAGCTGAGGCAGGAACGATAAGAGGGAGGAGGAGGAGGAGGAGGAGGATGATGAGGAGGAGGAGAGAGGAGAGAGGAAGAGAGAGACAGCTCGTCACGCTCCTTCTCGTCGCCATCGTATGCAGGCGCCTCGCTGAGACGGTCGGGGAGCTGCTGCTGGACGACGAGGACAATGATAGTGACAACGCCAGCTCCAGCGACATCGACGCCAGCGACATCGACGCCATCGGCTGCCGCAGCGCCCTCGCCCGCCTCACCGACCTCAAGTCAGGATCCCCTCGATACGTCGGAGGCTTCGACAAGCTTAAGATGCTGGAGCCTCACTTCGGGCAGACGTTCAAGGTGCCCCGGGTAGGCGTCAGGTAGCCGCGACGAGGACGCAAGCACGCCCGAGGCTCTGTAGACTACTAAGACTTGTAAATAGCGTGGAGAAGACCGAGGACCTAAATACAAACTGCCATGGCACTCTGTGAAAATGAGACTTGTCCAGGGGGCGAGAGGGAGGGGGTACTGCGGTGATGCGACAAGCTGAGGCAGGAACGAGGAGAGGGAGGAGGAGGAGGAGGGGGGGGGGGGGAGCACAAATTGTAAACTTCTACTGACTGCTCTGTGACATGTTTCATGACTCCGTGCTGCTCCTTACGATCGACGTCCAAGAAAACAACGCCATGAAAAGGTTTCAACGTCACATCAACATTCCACATGGGCACATGGTACTTTGGAGGGTTTGGAAACGGAGGAGAAGCTTGCATGTCAGTTTGATAGGTAAAACAAAGTTGGACTTGGACGTTGTTAGGAATGTTTCCGGGCTTTTCTTGCAGCTGAACCCGTTTGTCCCTCTGTTCGTAATGTCTCCTACTGTCATCTGCAATTGGAGCTGCCTTCCTTCGAACTCTTGCCATTCCTTTTCTGGTTGGACAGGGAGGGCACCGCCAACATTTTAGGATGAAGAATTTTAGACTTATCAATTCTAGAGCTGTAATCGATAGCAATTTTCAAGATTCCCCCAAACAGATGACGGCGGCCGGACTGTGGCGCGGAACTCCGAGACGGTCACAGAGCCAAAAACAACTCCGTTTCAGTAGTGACGGTGATGGGCAGTTGAGTTAAAAATCAACTTGCAATACGAGGACAACCTGTAGTGAGGTCCGAACTTCACTCAGTCAAGTATCGTGACAGGCGCCCGTATCGTGACAGGTGACTGGCAGCAACGAACAGGGAGTGTTCGGAGTTCAACAGTGCTCCAATTCAAACTCACAGTGTATGATCATTAAAGCCGCCTTCCGAAGTTCATTCACGGCGCAAATTTGGTGAGCCCGGTGAGTCGGCGGCCCCCGGCGGTTCGGAGACACGATGTGGAAGCAGAGTCAGCCGCGACTCCGAGTGGCACAGCCTCGGAGTCAGTCAAGCGGCCCGGCAGGCAGTGCGGCAACGGCGGGGGGTGAAATCGTGGGACAGGCGGCCCGGCAAGGAATTCAACTCCGTAGAGGGTCAAATCTCGTGACTTATGAAGTAGGCTTAAATTGTTGACATGCTCTTTTCCAATCGTTGCGTTTCATCAGACAAATGCTGACTCCTGGTGCCGTGACTTGTAGATAGTCGTACGTGACTGTGGGTCACGGGATCAGTCTTTTCTCAAGCGATGCTTTCCCCCCCTGATCTCCACCTCAACTTCTTCAAGCTCACGCGCAGCCTCCCTCATCCGCTCGCCAGCGCCACACCTGTCCACGCCCTACTCCTCCCATCCTCTCCCGCCTCCCTCTGCCTTCTCTCCCGTCTTCGCCCAAGCTATCTCTTCCCCTCCCTCCCTCTTTCCCTCCCTCCCTCCTTCTCTTCTGCCGATGTCCTCTTCCTCCTCATCTCACGACTTGCTGCCTCCTTCCTCGAGCCTCAGCCATTGCGTGGCTTCCGCCGCTACTCAGCTCTATGTCGCGCTGGTCGCGACCATCTTCGTATCCCTCGCGCGGCACATCCCCGCCGCCATCCTCTGGCTGCTGGAGGATGACAGCGAGCTCGCTCATGCCCTCAGCCTGCGGGAGCAGCCGGAGACTCAGGCCCCGGCAGTCGTCTCGACAGGAGGGGCTACGGGAGGCTTCGACAGGAGGAAGATGCTGGAGCCGCACTTCGGGCAGACCTTCAAGGTGAAGCGCGTGGGAGTACTGTAGGAGGCCAGCGAGGGTGGGAGGCTGTATAGTGTATAAGGATGTAAATGCGAATGTATGTACAATGTGAAGTAATAAACAAGTGAGATGGACTACTTGCGCTTGATTATGAGCAAGGCCTCGGAATGGATGAGATGGAGAGAAGACAGGCGTGGAGAGAAGAGGCATTGGCACTGTTGCCAAGACGCAACTCACAAGGATGCCGCTTATTAATTGTGACCATGTTCAGAACTGTGAGGCTATTCGACAGTTACGAGCTTCGATGAACTGTAACGGACCGGTGCGCACTAGGAGTAAAGCGGTGGATATCGCTAGATCGCTATCTCCGGAGCAGTTTTAATAGAGCCGCGATCTCGTGGCCTTCCACAGATAACAATCATTTTAATGTACACGACAGTCAAAAGCTGACATAAGGCTAAACTCATTTGACTGTTTCCTTCCTTTCCCCAACAGTCCTTTATCTCCCGTCCCTCTCTCCCCAGTCTTCCACACCCTCGCAATGTCCTCCCCCTTTCCCTCCTCCCACGACTGGTATAACCTCGACCTCCCCCTCTACGCCTTCCTCTCTAACCTCTCTGTCGACCCTTCCCTCCACTCTGCAATCACCTCCATCGCCCGCGATCACCTCCTCCTCCTCGCTGCCGCCTTCCTCCCTCTCGCCCATGTCATCGCCCTTGCCGTGCGCTGGCTCCTTGAGGACGAGGACGATCATGACCTCTGGGGACGTAATATCGTGGCTCCTGCTGTCGTATCAGAGCGGCAGGAGGCAGCAGCGTTAGGCGGGGCAGGGACGGGAGGCTTCGATAGGAGAAAGATGCTGGAGCCGTGCTTTGGACAAACGTTCAAGGTCAAGCGCATGGGGATTTATTATTCGGATTAATTTAGTTGGAAGAACAGCGATTTCAGTCCAGTAGGAATGCACTTGGAATGATTTGAGCTCTGCCGAGATGATTTCAAGACTCCGAAGGAAGGAATCTGGTTCAGCATGAGTGGACGGCAAGTGTAGCTGTAGTCTGTTCTCACAACGGTACAAAGGCTGCAAGGGCTGTACATGCTCCTGACCCGTTGAGATACACTCAGTCCTTGTCGGTAGACAGAGAGCGCGGCAAAGCACCTGGAGATTTCTCCAGCAATGTTACGATTCACCTGCTCCCCCAGGCTTGCTTTCAGTGTGCGACCGTGACTGTCACACGAGTCTCATGGCAGGATCGTACGTCCGTTCATTTGCAACGAGTCTCAAATAAACTTTTCTTGACTACTGTGCGCCTGATCTTTACAGCCTGAAACTTCATTGGCATCAGGCTCGTGGCATCATTTTCTATGATCATGGCATCGGATCCAAAGTTCAACGGTTAGCCTACTACGGCCCGGGTACGGTACTGAAGTAAGTACTGAGGCTACCGTACGGTCACGCGGCTGGGCCCGGATTCAGCCTTCGGAAGCCCGCCAGTGACCCCGCCCGGCTGTGGGCACGGGCCAGTGACCGTGCCACGGACTGCCGCTGTGCGGCACTGGTCACCCGGTGCCACCCGGCCCGGCGGCCGGGCGGGCCCACGGTCACCCGAGTCAGTCACGGTGGGCCCTGGGCCGGTGGCTGCCGCCGGCGTTACGCCGGGCGGCCCGTGACTCGGTGAGTCCGGCGGCCGCTTCTGCCGGGCCCACTGACTCCGCCGCGGCACGGCCCGTGCGGCACCGGGCACCCGGGCCTGCACCGACCGGCCGCCGGTGGGGCCCGGCCGCGGGTGACTCGAGTTTGAGTGGCAATGACGCGGGCTCGGGCCAGGAACCTGGCTGTGGGAACGACATGGCAGGCGGGAAGGCATGGGAGAGGGTCGTACAAGGAAAGAGGTAGGAAAGATGGTGTGAGTAGAGGAGAAGAGCGGTAAGAACGGATCAACCCGGACCTCTGCTAGTGGGGAGGCTGAGCATGGAGGAGGAGGCAGGTGAGGGGAGGAGAAAGACGAACATCGGTATGAACTGAGAGAAATGCGGCAGGGGAGGGAGAGGTTGACCTCCTCGTGACTCAGCTGTTCTCAAGTCAGCTGATGGAGGGGAATGAGGATTGCAAGGGCGCGGAGGGCGCGGAGGATGCTGGGAGGGTGGGGGTGGAGACTGGCGGGCAGACGGCAGGTGGCGATGGCACTGGTGGAGCTGACAGCTCAACGAGGTCGAGGACGAGGGTCCTTGCACGCCTCATGAGGATCAGCCGGAGCGATGTGGTAGATGACGCTGTCCACATGCTGGTTCTTGCTGTACTGACATGCCGACCCAGATAGAGAAAGGTGGGGACGCGATCAAGTACAAGAGACCAGGTTAGCACGCGACATGCTTGCTTCTTCGCTCGCTCTCGTGATGTTCTTTGCTGCCTGTTCGTTGCAGGGATGAAGCGGTGTGAACTGGAGAAGTACTTCCTTGATAGGATGAAGGTGACTGACGCGACCTTGGAGGAGGAGTTCGTTCAAACTGCCTATTTGCCTCTTTGCCGTCGCAAAGATGATTTCGATTGTACCTGTTTGCGCGATGCCAACTGACCATCTACGGATCCTCTGCCGCATGTCTGTGTAATCTTTAGTGTCAAGGTTGCCGATCGTGAGGCCTGCAGCACGCAGGAGCTAGTTGAGATCCACAGGTAGGAGGAAAGCAAGGGTTGTTGTATAACTGATGAGACTGAGCAGGCAGGAGATACTTCTCTCCTTGTCATCTTCAGTGCGTTGCAGGACATGCTTGTGGGGACTTGCTGTGACGTTTCTTGCCCGGCAGATCGATGACGTCAACGAGTGGTTCGAAGCCCTCACGAACGAGTACTTGCATGATGATGATGATGATGATGAGGAGGAGGAGGAGGCGGAGGAGGCGGAGGAGGATTTTGATGACGACGACGGCGTTCATTTGTTGATATTGGTGATGACAGGTATCTGTGCCCAAGGCACGATGAGGACGCCTCATGGCAGCTTGAACACATACGTTGCTTCTCAAGTGATGATCGCTCTGTTCTCTAGATCTTTCTCCCGTCTGTGCTGAAATCTTGCTTCTTTTACAGTCGAGCTGTCCTCCCTTGCTGTAAACCTCCGATATGTTTGTACAGCGGAGACTTGCCCGCAGGTTGGTTTGGGCACTTTCTAATCGTGAACTTCAGCCTCCTCTTCAAGATCATTGTCCTCGTTCTCATCTTCCGTTCTTCCCTTTTACTCCCTCATCATCTCCATCATCATCATCATCATCATATCATCATCATCATCATCATCATCATCATCATCATCATATCATCATCATCATCATCATCATATCATCATCATCATCATCATCATCATCATCATCATCATCATGACTCGTGGACTTGCCAGATGAAAGCAACCGAGGAGTGGATGTATCTTTGCGCTGCCCGCAAACAGCCGCAGGCGAGTAACTCTTGTTATCTTGGGCTTGCAGACTCTAATTTTTATTGTTCTTTCTTGACATGCTTCACGGTTTGCTCCTTTATACCCCCTCCTTCACAAGTTTAATGTTTTGGTTGTTGTGCTGACTTCACTCTCAGGAATGTTCAGCTATTGACTACATCATCCACACCCTTGATGGGACCTGCGCCCTTCTCAACTCCAACAAGTGAAATCTTAACACTCTCACTTTCCCTCTCCCTCCCTCCCTCGCTCACTCCCTGTTGTTCCCCTCCAAAGCTTGGCCCTCCTCCTCCTCCTTGTCCTCCTCCTCCTCCTCCACCACCACCACCTCCTCCTCCTCCTCCTCCACCTCCTCCTCCTCCACCTCCTCCTCCTCCTCCTCCCTGCTTTTGCTCTGCTGATGCCTGCCAGGTGGTTTCCGTGGAATGCAAGGATACCCTCGTCCTCTTTGAAATACTTTCAGGTCAAAGAAATTCAAAAAAGAGATACAGAGACAGAGAGGGAGATAGAGAGAGAAAGGGAGGAAGAGGAGGAGGAGGAGGAGCAGCAGCAGCAGCAGCAGGCGTGAACGGGCTGATGATTGCTTTCAGTCCATCACCAGGAGACTTTATCGTGTGTTGTCTCACTGTTTCTTTCATCACAGTGAGTTCAGAGGTGAGAAGATAGGAAGATGCGATGACGATGATGTTTGCAGAAGAAATATTCGAGGACTTCGAGAAGAATAATCACCTTTGCCTTCGGTTTGTTGCCTTTGGTGAGTTTTCCTCCTGCCTTCTACGATTTGTTTCAGATCGACATCATTGTCATCCCATCAACAAATTCTACCACAGTACTGACAACAACATCATCATCAACAACAACAACAGAAACAGAATCATACAACAAAGTCAACGTCAACATTCAATATCATCAACACAAACCATGAAAAATTCAAGCTTTCACCTCACTGTGCCTTCAACTTCATCGTTCTACTTCTTCTCCTTGGTCTCCTTCTCTTTCTCACTTTGCCCGCAGCTAAGGCCCATGACCTGATCCCCCCCAAGCTTCTCATCATCCCGCAGAGCGGGTTCCTGTCGTGTGTGCACACGCAGACGCAGCAGTCATAAGAGGAGCAGGAGAGAGGAAGACGAGGACGAGGAGAAAAAGTAAGAGGAAGAAGACGAGGGAGGAGAGGGAGGGAGGAGGGAGGAGAAGAGAGGAGGAGAAGTTGAGATAATGATGATATGCATGTAAATGCTCTTGAAAGTTTCCTCTCATCGTTCGGCTGCGGCTAAAGTGAAGATGGTAGAC